CAGCCAGAACCTACTGGGTACCATGACATCAAGTCAGCCAGAACCTACCGGGGCACCATGACATCAAGTCAGCCAGAACCTATGGGGCGCCATGATATCAAGTCAGCTGGAATTTCTGAGCAACCAATACTCTTATCCAATCCCTTCAAAACAGCAGATACACGTTTATAATGACTTTGAGAATGTCAAAATCCCTAGCCTGTACCTAATTATTTCTCAAGATCAGTTCTTTTCAATTTTTTGAAAAGCATTTTTCAGCAGCAGAGCCATTAAAAAAAAAATCCTGTATTTAAAATATCTGAAATTTTCGTTGACATAGAGGAGACTGGCCTAGCTCCATGTCCCTAGTCTATGAGATGCTTCCAAGAAGCCAGAAGTGTTTGAAAGTCACTGCCCTCAGGGACTGCGTTACCTTAAAAACAAACAAAAACCCTGAGTAGTAGTCTGAGATTTACTACTCAGTAGTCTGAGATTTACATCAATCTGAGGTTCCTGCATGGAATACCCTGTGATACGACTGTACAACAGTCCTCAAAGCACCATCTCTCTGTGCCTTTCATTCTTCCCTCTATAAAATGATGACCCTGGTCTAGAAACCAGTGAGGGCCTGTCAGCACTAAAACTGATGAGGATCAAAAAGGAGGAAAAGAGACAGAAACCAGAGAACATTCCAGATGAACTGGGAAATAACCTAGGCCTCTCATGTACAGTGATTTCCTAAGCTGTAAGATATATTCACGTTTCTCATAAAAATCACAAACTAAAGTTGTATGTAATTATTTTGATCCTGTTCCACATTTTACTGCCTCTGATTAATTTATTCACTTAAGAATTAGCTATACTGAATTAATGAAAGGTAAATGTTACAGGCACATTTGCATCAAACTAAACGCACAAGAATGTCCTACTAATTGCCAATTATGAATATATTTTTAGAAATACCTTCACCAAGTGCCTGACAGAATACCTAACCTCTTTATAAAGAAAAAAGTTAAGGAATAAATTTCTGTGTATTCTTTTGCTCAACAATTTAGAATACCAGTAAGTCACATTCTGCTGAAAGTGGCAGATCTAAGGAACAAGGTCAGGAAAACAGACCTGTAGTCTCTCTACAACAAAGAAAAACCACTACAAATCAACAGTTACAGTCAGTTCTTTTCATTCTTTATGCAGCAAGTAAAAAGGAAGGAAACAGGTACCTTCACTATACAAAGGTGTGAACTGTGAGACTGTCCTCAAGAAGCGTTTGTTCTGTAGTGATAGTCACTAAGGAAGTCATGGCTTTATTATCACAAGCCATTCTGTACACAGACTCAATAGCCCTTTTTAGAAAATGTAGGAGTCCCAAAAGGAGCTCTGGTGGTGCTGTGATGAGAGCACTTGGCCGCTAATCCAAAGGTTGGTGGTTTAAACCCACCAGCGACTCTGCGAAAGCAAGATGAAGCAGTGTGCTTCCATGAAGATTAAAGCCTTGGAAACCCTCCGGGGCAGTTCTCATCTCTCCTACAGGGTCATTATCAGTGGGAAGCGACTCGGCGGCCATGGGGCTGGTTTCTGGGGTTAAGGGGCAGGAGAAAGTCACACTACAGGGGCACTGTAACAGTGTGCTGAGGAAAAAAAAAAAGGAGGTTTTGTTTTGTTTGTAACCTGTTGTTTCAATTGAGTTTCCGACTAAAAAAGACAGGTGTGTTCTCCTGAATCTGCCCTGATGCCTATGTGGCTGGGCCTGGCCTTACCTGAATTCTTCCCACCACACCAGGCACCACTTATGCACACACCTAGATACTGCACACTGAGGAAACACACCACTTCTGGAAAGGGAGGTTGGAGATCTTTCCTTCACTTCACTCATTTCTGATAAACAGGAAATGAAGCTCAAGGTCTGGCTCCTTTGAGCTGCATGCCCCTCCAACCCCAGCCTGCTGCAGGGGCGTGTGGAGCAGTGGGTCTGGCTCTCCTTGCCATGGTGTTTGTGGTACCCACCAGATGAGTAGGTAGAACTATGCAAAGGGAAGGTGCCTGTGCCCTAACAAGGGAACTGGACAGCTTGTGAGTAAAGCAAATAAGGTACGTGGCACCCTTGTGGGGGTGGGACCACGGAGGTAAGGTGTACAGAACCCTAGGGTGGCCAGTTCTGTTCATTCTGCTAGGCTTAAAACGAGCCCAGAGGCAGAAAGGGGGATCTCACTGTCATGCAGACAGACAGCAGCCAGGAATGATGCTCATCTTTAGAGTCAAGATCCCTGTACTCAGAGGGCAGCAGCACGAGACAGAGCAAGGCTGGCACGAGACAAAGCGGCAGGCTCGCCGGCTCAGAGTAAGAGCACTGAGTGCCTCTGGGCAGAAGGCTTGCTGACGGAACAGGAGTGGGGTGAACCCAGCAACAGAGCTGAAAGAGCTTTGTAACACTTGCCCAAGAAGGGCAGAGGCCAGGATGAGAGGCCAAGGGCCAAACACCAAAGAGATGTGTGCCTGCAGGCATACGGAGAGGAGGCTGTTCTGATTGAAGAACTGTATCCTGAGCATTCCTGAACCTGACTGTTACCTTATTGGTTCCCTAATAAACCCCAAAATCGTACTATTGGTGAGTTCTGTGTGGCCGCGGAAACAAATTATTAAACCCAGCAGAGAGTGCTGTGGGGGGAGGGTTTGTGTCAGAATTGGTAAAGAGAGTGGAGGGTGGCAGCACCTCTGGCCTCGCCGGAATCAGCCCTAGGCTGCTGCTAGGGATTCTCCTGGTGAACTTAGAGGCCAAAGTAGGATGGTGCCACCCCGTCCTTCTTGCAGGAAGTGACTTGCCCTGACTAGCCATTTCTGCCGAATCCCAAAGTCAGGGACCTGAACCTGCTCATTCAAAAAAATTCATCATGGTCTGGCTACACATTCCAGCGACGACCCTCTAGACTCCACCAACGTCTCTCAAGACACAGAATTGGGATTAAGTTAGCTTCAAGTTATTAGGAGTCAGCACCATAAATGAATTTTAGTGACAACACTACTGGGAAACCAGGCTGTGTGAATTTAACAATTTACCAATGTTTTCTCCACCGTGATTCCATAATGAAAGTGTGTACAAATCCTACCGTACTGTCTACTTTTTTTAATAAAAGCCTACTTTGCCTAAGAAGGAAAAGCAGCACTGGTGGCGTAGTGCCGAAGTCATTTGACTTCTAACCAGAAGGCTGGATGTTCACACCCACCAGGCACTCCTCGGAAGGAAGACCAGGCAATCTACTTCTGTAAAGATTTACCACCTCGGAGACCCAATGGGGCTCCACTGACTCAATGGCAGTGGGTTTGGTTTTTGGGTTTTTTTGCCTAAGAGAACAAAAGGAATGATTTTAAAAATGAACAATATCATTTCTAAACTCAAAGCGCAAATACTGTACACCACAAGCACTGCTTCAGCATTCAAAATATGAAAGGCTTTTAAAAAACTACTCTAAAGGGGAAAAAAATCTCAAGCCAAGACACAGCAGCTCCTTCTGTGAAGAAACCATGGCTGCAGATTTAAATCATCAACCTGAATAAACAACGAGATGCAAATCCCCACTCTAAGCACAGTGTTACAAACCAATCTCTGGCTAACGATTTCATAAGGGATTAACTGCATCAAGTAGGCCATGTCTATAGTACACCATTAATCAAACATGAGACTCAAACAAATACGTACAGTTCCAGAGAGGACATCATGGGGGCAACAGTTGAGAAGGTGACTCTTGCATACTCTGTCATCACTGAATTTGATTCGCTGACGAGTGGTATCTCCTGTAATATAGAAAAGTTGGTAACATTCAAGGTTAGACAACCGGAAAGTACTTATACCCCAAGAGTCCTACTATTACTAGCCTTGTATGTGTGGCTGTAGACACACGCATATAAATCAGCTCAGAAGGGATTAGTTTCTTACAGGACACCCTACAGAAAAACTAGGTAACATGCAGTTGCAGTATGGAGACTGCACATGTAATTCCAAAAGTCAAAGTGGGAAAGCAATGCATTCTGTTAAACAGAGTATTTCAGAAAAGCATAGGGTTTTAGAGCAGGAATGGACTTTAAGGATTACAGAGTCCAACTCCTTCATACACAGATGAGGAAACCAAGGCCTTGAGAGGTTAAGCGAATTGTGGAAGACCCACTAGAACAGTTTCTACTTATTGGTTTCCAATGTTCCTCCCTTCCTGACCCTAAGTAATGATTTATTTTGTAATTATGGACATTAATTGAAAAACAGAACAAGTAATCTGGCAAACGTTGCATACACACTGCGAGTCCCCACTGAACCCCAGACGCCATTTCTTCCACTATTTTGTTCCAGCTGCAGTGTCTCCCTTTCGCTGCTGGGAGGAGTTAGAGAGGGTAGAATCAGGTGTTTAAAAGCGTACAAACCTGGAAGAAGGACTTACACACCAGTCAAACAAAGGCATCCTGCCTACATGGAACGTTCCCTTGCATGCCTCCAAAGGGCCCACACCTCTAAATTCAAGAGAGTCTGTACCACTGATGCCAAACTGGGTGCAGGGACAGTCCCTCTCCCTCCCGCTAACCCAGGACACCTGCTGGGCAACAGAGCACCCAACCCGCTCACCATCTACCGCTATCTACCGGGAACCTTCGAGACTCCTAGGGTAAGAAAGGTAACTACTTTAATAACCAACTCTGTAAAAACCAAAGGGAAATCTCGTTAGAGCATCTCTCTCTATGTAGCATGATAAGTCCTAAGAAAGTGCCTTATTTTAGCCTCAAATTGCAGGAACCTTGATGTCATCATCCAGGAATGAAAACCTACTGGTGAATCACTGCACCAAGGGCATCTGTCGGTAACAAAACACACTGTAAACGCATCTGCGTGTCACATGCTGCCACAGCGCTCCTCAAACTGTCATCAAGAAAGTGATGCAATGATGTAAAGCAATGTTTCTACCTTCATACCTGAATTACAAAAAATGTTAAAATTTACTCCTTAGGGTCTTATTTTAGTCAACCAAATATTATTTTTAGGTGGGGCAAGATTTTGTTCAAATTCTTTTAACTCGGTTAAAAAGACTTATGAAACATTTTGACCTGCCACCAGGGAGCGTCAACTGTCAGTGACAGTAAGACACAGCTAAGAAGAGCTTCAGGCAGCTCCACAGTGGGCTCAAGGTTCCTCTTCACCCCACAATTTGGAACTATCCGCTGACTGGTCGCCTGCTACCAGAATAAAGGTTATCTGGACCATTCTTTTTGTCCTTGCAAACACAAGTCCTTTTGTTCCACATTCATTAACACAGCTGAAAAGGTAGTGGTAACTCACGGCTCGGCGAGCGCGGGGCCTTTCTGACACTCCCTTGCAGACTGCAGTAGGCAGGCATAGATACATTGAACCTTTACAAATAAAACAAGGGGCCAGATTGTTCAGTCTGTAGAGAGCAGGCCCTGCCAGCAAGTTCAGTACAGCTTCGACAAGTACATGTTGACTGTCAAGATTCTTGGATGTAAAAAATGAACAAAATCAGGGTGCTTCAGTTTTCAAATCCAGGCGTAACCCCAGAGATGATGATGATAGACAAAAAAAATTCCAGGCCGGAGCTCTGGAAGTGGTCCACGGGCCAATGGGGTTAAAGCTATTTGTTCTGAAAGCTGTTTCACCAACACTCTGAGGGAGGCCTCGGGCCCATGGCTGAAGGGTCCTATCTGACAAGCGCACACCAAAATGGCAGTGCCACCGTAGAGCCTGCTGGCTGCCTAGCACGTAAGGAAAATTTCTGTCCAATTTGAAACTTAGTTATGCTAATGAAAGACAATGCAGATTTTAAAAGCAGGGAGAAACAAACTGCACACGGCACTCAGCCGTCTAGGAGTCCCGGGACAGGCACCAGGCTTGGGCAGCCAGCAGGCGCATTGCCCCGGCGATGTGCTGCACCAGTGGCCCAGGGGAACGGTACAATCAAATGCTGAGATTCACAGACTTGCGCCAGTCCAACATTTCATCAAGCAGGGGGCTGTTTTTGCTTAAGAAATTACAGCATTCACTCTAAGATCTATGTGCCCTGAAGACACAGTTATCTGACAAAATTTGAACAATTCCAAACATGAATATAGCTAGCAGTATTCCCGATGAGATTTTTAAAAAAGAGTTTGTTCTATAAATGCAAAAAAAAAAAAACCCGTAACCCTCACTGATGTATGAATGGGTGCTTTATAACTGGAGTGAACACAACAGACACAGCTACAGTTCTTGGCCTGGGGATCACAGAAAGCCCGAGAACATTACACAGCCCCCAATAGTGTGAAATACAGAAACACCCTGGGCGGGGGAACAACTGCGGATCTGTTTACTGAATAGCTTTTAAAGCTTTACTTCAGGAACTTTAAGGAGAACATTTTTAAACAATCTGGCTCCATCACCATGTGGTTTATCATCAGTTGATTAACTGATTTGAGCTTATGGTGTGAAAATACAACCAACTAAACAAAAGGTTTTAAAATAAAAACACGAGTCATTTCCATTTCTGGCAAGATATCTGGCCCAAACCATGATTTTCAAAAGAAAAAAAAAGGCAGCGCCTATTTAAAAAAAAAAAGGGGGGGGGGATATATATGAACCAAATCTCCATATACTATGGGGGACTATTTATGAGTATGATATACAGTATTTTGGGGCTTTCTGGGTATACATTCAAATAATGATAATAAAAAATAACCTAAATTAAGAAGGGAGAAAAAAGCCCTGTTACACGAAGGCTGGCTCTAACTCACAGAATCTAACCTCTTTCTGGGCATTGCCTCTGGGCCAGGCAACGGGGTTAACAGAAAGGCCTAGGAGACAAGCTGTCCACCCTCAAGAAGCCCCTGACTTTGCTAGATAAACAGGACGTAGAAGGGAACTAATACCACAAGTAGTATGATCCAAGGTCAAGGGTTTCAAACAAGTCATACCCGAAGAACTCAAAAACTGGAATGACTGGCAAGGACTGGAGAGGCCAGCAAAGGCTTACTGCCTAAGCAGAAGCCAAGCTTTGAAGGAAAGAGGACTTAGATCAAAGGAAAGAGCAGAGCACTCCAAATGGAACGTCTCCAACAAAGCAGGGAGCTGGTGGCAGAGGGACGGGCACAGCAAACAGGACCCAGTTAGCTTCGGCCAACGGCTTCACGTAGGAGCACTCAAAGCCGGGGCGGGCCAGAGTATGTTGTGGGGTAAAATCTGATTTCTCATATGATGTTTTTCACCTTCTTAACCCAGATTTTAAAATGTGTGGACAAATTTTAAAAAGAAAGAAAGAAAAAGAAGTTGTTTAAGAATGATGGGGCAGAGACTCAAGCATTATCTGTGTCAACACCACAACAAAAAGCCCATCTGAGAGCAGTATGGTGGTCTCACTCCTCTAGCCTGGACAACAGTGCATTAGGCTTTGTGAAGTAACGACAAGGCCAGGTTCTCAGAATTAGAAACCTGATTTAGAACTTGGCAGGCAGTGTATTTCACTGAATGGCAGCAGCAAAAACTTTTTTATTATTTGCTACCAAGTAACTACCTTCCAACTAAAGACTTGCCCTGATGAGTTCCCTGAGTTCCAAACTTTACTTGGGGTGTAAGTCACAGGTAGGGAGGATGCATGCTACCCCTCCAGGTCTTTCTGCCCTCTAACAGAGCCGTAAAAACGACTGTCCAACTTGTACTCCAATGCAACTGTCCTCCCCTCCCCGCCCATCTTGCAGGAGGGAAACCAGCTGCACTGCGCTGGCCCGCACTGCCACTGCCCGGCCCTGCCTTCAGGGAGACCAGCCCAGACTCCAGCTCTAGTAGCGACACTGAAAACCTTACCTAGATGGTACTGGGCCCCAGAGCTCGCTGCGTGCTACTTCCCCAAGTCCCACCCCCTCCCGTCATCCACCCACCCACCCCCTCCCGTACAAACAATAAAGCAAATCAACTCTTGTAGTTGTGTTATTTTTAAACATCAAAATGTTACTTTACCCATTCTCTCCGATGCTGCCTGTGTTTTAAGCAGTGAATGGATGACCATGTATGTGACCAACTGTGAAGCTAAGCAAAAGTGAATGGAGTTTAGTGTCGTCATTTGACAGGAACCTTAATGTTTGTAACAGTTGACACGTTCAATACCCTCAGACCCCTTATTTTACTGCACATTATCAGACACTAACGGCAAGCCATCTGTAACAACGGCTCATCGGAGAGGAGGAACTCCACAGCACACGAGCTAATCTAAGCACCCCTAGCCCCTAAACGGAGGTGGGATGGGGAAGCACTCCCCACAGGTACACGCATTAGGGGCCAAGCTCCCAAGTGGCACGGGCAGGGCAGCCCACAGTTCTCTGAAGGAAGAGCGATAGCCCGTTAGTGAAAGGGAGCCTGGAGCTATGAAGAGGTATAGAGTTCAACACGTCCAGCTTCCCTGTCCTCTCAAACACTGGAATGCGCAGAGATGTCCCTCCTTCTATGCCCATTCCCTCCTGTGTAAGTACACAGGACACAGCCATGTGGGAGCTACATAAAGACCCACAGCTAATTTTCAGCCTAGCACAGGGTGGGAAGACACCTTAAGAAGCACTTGAGCAAACTCTCCGCCTTCATCCTGCATGGGGACTTCTAAACTGAGGAACTGACCCTGTCACTTTTACATCCAATTCAAACTTTCTCTACAATCTATCTTTTCCTGCCTACCCTTGTTGGTCCTTCCTAACTCGGCTTAAAAATCACCTCTGTGAACTCTTTCTTTATTAACCTGTAAGAGAAACTCACTCCTCCTTTACTCCATGTTCCC